TGTTATATTATATTATTATGTAGTAATATTATTATTATTAGTAGTAGTAGTATTATTATTATGGATTACACTGGGTTATAAATGGAAAGAATAAATGAATGAACAAACCAACAGCCCTCCCTTCACCTTGGAAAATTACCGAATGCCTTGGCCATTCACTCTCTCTTGGTTCAATTTACCTCACAGGGTTGCTGTTTGGAGGATAAAGCAAAAGGGAATTACCTCAGCTCTTTGGAGGAGAGGCAGGATATTCTATTAAGCAACCTAATCAAGAAATTTCAAATATTCTTGCTATTTTGGAAATAGTGCTATAGCCTAAAATAGGCTTCATGCTGCATTTTTAAAAATAGAAAAAAAAAAAGCTCTTTAGCTCCCTACCCAAATTGAAGGAGAGAACATAGAACATATAGAACGTGGGAATCATAGGGCTGGCAGTCTTCTAGTCCAACCCTGAGTATAGACAGTATACTAAATAGCATATTGCCCCCTAATAATCTGGGTCCTCATTTTACCCACCTCGGAAGGATGGAAGGCTGAGTCAACCTTGAGCCGGTGAGATTTGATCCGCTGATCTGCTGAACTAGCAGTCAGCTGAAGTAGCTGCAGTACTGTACTCTAACCACTGCGCCACCTCAGCTCTTCTTGTCAGTTCCTCTAATGCTTTTTAGAATAAGTCAAACCCCTCTTTCTCTGTGATAGCCCCTCAAGTGCTGGAAGACAGTTATGCCCCCCCAATCCTTCTTGACGACAGGCTAAATATACCATATTTTCGGAGTATAAGACGCACCTAACTTTTTTGGTGAGGAAAAGAAGAAAAAGAAATCTCCCTCTGCCTCTGAGCAATTTTGCCTCATTGCAGCAAACAGCAAACAGCCTACTTTACTTTCATTTTCGTTTTCAGCATAGCTTGATTAGCACAAGGGGAAAAAAAATCTGCTCCAGCAATTTATCTCTTTGCAGCAAGCAGCAGAGCTCTGCGCAAAACAGCTGAGAGGAAATCAGCTGAGAGTCGGGAGGCCGATCCAAACAACTTGTGCTAATTAGGCTGTGCTGAAGCTGAAAGGAGATGTTTTTTCTTGCTGTTTGCTTGCAAGGAGGTAACTGCTGCGAGGCAGAGGCCAAAGGGTGGGGATCAGTGGATGGGCGGGGCTACATTTGGTGTATAAGACGCACCTAAATTTTCACCCCCTTTTAGGGGGCAAAAAGGTGTGTCTTATACTCCGAAAAATACGGTACCTAGCTCAGGGGTGAAATGCTACCGGTTCGGGCAAATCGGTAGTTAAAAAAAGCTATTGGTTCGTCTGAACCGGTATTTCCGATGATCAGCTGTGCCGCGTGGTTTATATTCGCTAGAAAGCAGGAAATCTTGCTTTCTAGTGAAGCTAAATCACGTGGCACAGCTGTTCCCCCCTCGCTGTTCTACTTACCTATTGAAGTCTAATTTTGGCGCATGCGCTGGCAGCAAACTGGTGGCGATCCACGGAGGATTTCACCACTGACCTAGCTCCCTCAACCGTTCATCGTACAATAAATGGACAGTAAAGCTGAAAATCCTTGTCCGTAAGTGGGACTCAGTTCTATTCCATCTGAATCATTCACTTCTAGTTTCGCCCTCTCTGAATGCTGTCAGTTCCAATAATCTTCCCAACGGAGACATGAAAGGACATGGAGAATCCAGAATCTGATTTTCCCTTCCCTCGGGGATGAGTGGAAAATCCTTTTGCTTCACTGCGGATTTACCCAATTCAAATTTCCTGAATAGTCTGACCTCATACAGTCTGACCATTTCCTATATCTAGTCTACACTTCTGGGTCATTAGGGGAGTTTCGTCTTGGCTGTAGGATTTCAATTCAGAAAAGCCACCATCCACACCATCCAAGTGTAGAGATTTATCTTTTGGTGTTTTTGTTTTTTTGTTTTTTAAAAAAAATACTGTCTTGAGAATGGCAGTCTTTCAGGATAAATATCAATATTTATCCTGAAAGAGTGGATAAATATTGATATTTATATCAATAGGAGCCTGAGTGGTGTAGGAGGCTAATGCCTCCTATTAAGGCAGCATTTAACATCCAGCTGCCTGCAATTACTGCGAGTTCAATTCTCACCAGGCTCAAGGTCGACTCAGCCTTCCATCCTTTCTAAGGTGGGTAAAATGAGGACCCGGTTTGTGGGGGCAATAAGCTGACTTTGTATAAAATATACAAAAGGATGAAGGCTATTGCTTAACGCATTGTAAGCCGCCCTGAGTCTCCGGAGAAGGGCGGCATATAAAAATAAATAAAAATAAAAAATATAAAAATATAAAAAAAATACACGGAGCTTAAACGTTGCTTCCTGTATCACAAATGTCACTTCAGGCTAAACCAGAGGAAGATGTGCTGACTCTTTAATGACATCCTGCTCGACTCTATCACCAACGTAGCCATTCTTAGTTTCTTTGGAAGGGGTGTGGGAAGTGTCAACTAGGAAATCCTGTTGGGTTTATTTCTAGCTGTAGTATTAGCCTTTTATTTCAGTCACTCAAAAAAAATAAATAAAAATAAAACAAAACAAAAACACCAAACCCCACACATTTTAAGAACACCCTGTGACTGTGAGGCGGCCATTCTTTCAATAATGTCTTCAGGAAAAATAGAACAAGTCAAATCTTTGTGTTTTGTTTTGTGGTACACAGCAGTCACACTATTTTCATAAGCCACTCATAAGGGGGGGTCATAAAAATCAATATAATGTCAGCGATGGTGTGACTGAATCAGGGGTGGGTTCTAAATTTTTTAACTACCGGTTCTGTGGGCGTGGCTTATTTTGTGGGTGTGGCTTGGAGGTCATGTGACTAGGTGGGCGTGGCTAGCTGGTCAGAGTCATTTCTGGAAGGTCCTCGCACTTACGACCAGTCCTCGCACTTATGACCCGACTCATTTGTTTGCTTTTAACACTGATCAGCTGTAGGGCGGCCCTTTGAAGCCCCGCGGCAAGAGTTTAAACAGTTTTTTTCCCTCTAGTCATCAGCTGGGACTCAGGAGGCAGCAATAGATTGGGGGTGGGACCAAATAAAAGGTAAGAATAACGTGGGGGGGTGAGGGGGAGGGGGAGAGAACCGGTTCGGTGACGTCATATCGTCACCGCTACCGGCTCGGCCGAACCGGACCGAACTGGGAGGAACCCACCACTGGACTGAAGTCTCACTGCTTTTTCGTATGTGGCACACAGAAAAAAGGGCAAAGCTTTGATGACACAATTCCTGACACTCTCTTAACCTTTTTTCATACCCCAAGAACACCTCTGACTTCCCCTGCCTTCAGCCAGCCAGTCCAAAGCTGTCTAAATCTCTACCCCTCTTATAAGTCAGGACTACCAAACCAAGAATTCCCAAACAACAGAACTGCTGCACCTTGCCTGGGGTGCTTTCTCTGGGGAGTTCACACGGCAGCCTTTTCCAATTTGACCGAGATTAAACCTAGGCCTGAATTTCATCCCTCGGCAGTTGGCTCTCTTAGTTTCTTTCTAAGGTTACCATTTAAATTCTCTCATTCTATGATTCTCTGAAAATCCCCAAGTAATTCATGCTTAGAACATAAGCTGCTGTGAAGAGCTGTAATTTTGAAGTACAATGATCCCCCAACTTGCCATACTCTATACACACTGCTTAATCCTACTAATAGCAGGGGTGGGCTGCTGGGGGTACACAGGTATTCAGGAGAACTGCTAGCTAAGATTCTGTGCAGTTTGGAGAACCCCCAAATCCCATTCCTGGCTGTCCCCTCCCCTCCCACCCCTCCCCTCTCCACCCAGGAATCCCCACGCGGGCCATTTTGGATGCAGGTATGTGCAGGGCATAGAAGCTTGGGGAGGGTGAAAAATGGGCCTACCAAAGTTCAGGAAGGCTACAAATAGGTCTGTTTCTGGTCTCCAGAGGGCCTCCGGAGCCTGGGGAGGCCGTTTTCACCCTCCCAGAGGCTCATGAAAAGCCTCCGGAGCCTGGGGAGGGCAAAAACACCCTCCCTCATGGTGCAGGATGATGACTAGGCAACGCCCACCATGGCCATGCCCACCCAACAACCGGGCAGAGAACCCCTTGCTAAAATTTTTGAAGCCCAGCCCTGACTAATAGTAGCTGTGGCTATCCTCATAGCTCCCCATGAGTTTTATTTTATTTATTTATTTTATTTTATTTCGAATTTATATACCGCACCTTCTCCCGAGGGACTCAGGGCGGTGTACAGCCAGATAAAAACATACAATATAAACATTAAAAACAATTAAAAGAATATATACTAATTTGGCCCCAGTTTAAAATGACAAACCAATTAAAAATTAAAAATATTTAAAAATATGTTAAGCCAGCCTGGCTTGCTGAAAAAAGAAAGTTTTAAGGGCATGGCGGAAGGCACCGAGTTGTTCCAAGTGACAAGAGAAACGAGTCAGGAAAAGCAGTTTATATACTTAAATACACTAGAATAAACGAACACATTATATATTAACTTGTAGAGATTATCTGCCTGTCACACAAAGAACTCCAGTTTGCTCTAATGGTTAAGGCCCCCAAGCTAGAAAGCAGGAGACCGTAGGTTCGAGTCCCACCTTAGTCATGCAAGCCAGCTGGGTGACTTTAAGCTACTCCCTCTCTCTCTCTCAGCCCAACCCACCTCACAGGGTTGTCGTTGTTTTTGTGGTGAAAGTACGAAGTGTGTTGGATATGTTTGCCACTTTTGTAAAAAAAAAGAATAAAGGCAGGATACAAGCCGACCAACAAATAACATCTTGTTGGCCAGGGACTTGAATATCCCTTAGTCCAGAGGTCACCAACCTTTCGGACCTCAGGGACCACTAAATTTATAATTTTAAATCCCGCGGACCACTAATGTGAATTTTTTAAAAAGATAAATAGCATATAAAAAATGCAAATAATTTTTCTGCAGACCACCAAAATTTTCTCATGGACCACCAGTTGGTGACCACAGTCCATTTAACTGTTGATTTAAAAGTGTATCAAACCTACCTGTTTGAGAATTGGTTTGGGAGTTGGACCACTTCTGTGATGGCTTCTGGATTCCTTTTTGCAACGCCACAGATGTCCAGCTTGCTATAACATTCTTCCTGCACTTCCGAAATCATACGCTGGAATGTGGAACATCGGCGAATGGCCAGGAACACCTTGGAGGTGACGCCGTTGGCAATGCATTTCAGACTCTCCTTTACAAAGGCCTTTCCCTGGACCAAGGAGGACAGCAACATGTAAGGAACTTGGTTAAAACCCCTGGGACAGTAACTGAGCCCTGATGATGTTACCTAGCTCAGATGTTATCAAGCTCAGAGAGCACCAAGGACCCCTCACGTCAATTTTTGTCATGAGTTTCAAACTCCCACCATTATTTCTCAGGGTTGTTCCTGAATTGTTCGGTATCGTTCCAAGGGGCAACTCTTGGAAATAGTTTTTTTTTTTATTATTTTTTAAATTTGATTTATATGCCACCTTCTCCGGAGACTCAGGGCGGCTTACAATGCGTTAAGCAATAGCCTTCATACTTTTGTATATTTTATACAAAGTCAGCTTATTGCCCCCACAAACTGGGTCCTCATTTCACCTACCTTAGAAAGGATGGAAGGCTGAGTCAACCTTGAGCCTTGGAGATATTGAACCAGCAGTAATTGCAGGCAGCTGTGTTAATAACAGGGTGCGTAGACCACTGTACTATCAAGGCTCTTCAAGAAAAGTTACTGCGTCTAAGAGTTGTTCAATGATGGAGCAGAGAGAATCAGGAGCTGCCCCTTTTTGCTGAAAAATGATGATCTGTTGGAAATGCCTGCAGGCAGGAATCTTAACCACGATTCCCAAAGACTCTTTCTGGGCTTATATTCTATAAACTCTATTTATATATGAGAGTATATATACTATATACAGTGGGGCAAAAAAGTATTTAGTCAGCCACCAATTGTGCAAGTTCTCCCACTTAAAAAGATGAGAGAGGCCTGTAATTGACATCATAGGTAGAACTCAACTATGAGAGACAAAATGAGAAAACAAATCCAGACAATCACATTGTCCGATTTGGAAAGAATTTATTTGCAAATTATGGTGGAAAATAAGTATTTGGTCACCTACAAACAAGCAAGATTTCTGGCTCTCACAGACCTGTAACTTCTTCTTTAAGAGGCTCCTCTGTCCTCCACTCATTACCTGTATTAATGGCACCTATTTGAACTTGTTATCAGTATAAAAGACACCTGTCCACAACCTCAAACAGTCACACTCCAAACTCCACTATGGTGAAGACCAAAGAGCTGTCGAAGGACACCAGAAACAAAATTGTAGACCTGCACCAGGCTGGGAAGACTGAATCTGCAATAGGCAAGCAGCTTGGTGTGAAGAAATCAACTGTGGAGCAATAATTAGAAAATGGAAGACATACAAGACCACTGATAATCGCCCTCAATCTGGGGCTCCACACAAGATCTCACGCTGTGGGATTAAAATGATCACAAGAACGGTGAGCAAAAATCCCAGAACCACATGGGGGGACCTAGTGAATGACCTGCAGAGAGCTGGGACCAATGTAACAAAGGCTACCATCAGTAACACACTATGCCGCCAGGGACTCAGAACCTGCAGTGCCAGACGTGTCCCCCTGCTTAAGCCAGTACATGTCCAGGCCTGTCTGAAGTTTGCTAGAGAGCATTTGGATGATCCAGAAGAGGATTGGGAGAATGTCATATGGTCAGATGAAACCAAAGTAGAACTGTTTGGTAGAAACACAACTCATCGTGTTTGGAGGAGAGAGAATGCTGAGTTGCATCCAAAGAACACCATACCTACTGGGAAGCATGGGGGCGGCAACTTCATGCTTTGGGGCTGTTTCTCTGCAAAGGGATCAGGACGACTGATCCGTGTACAGAAAAGAATGAATGGGGCCATGTATCGTGAGATTTTGAGTGCAAACCTCCTTCCATCAACAAGGGCATTGAAGATGAAATGTGGCTGGGTCTTTCAGCATGACAATGATCCCAAACACACCGCCCAGGCAACGAAGGAGTGGCTTCGTAAGAAGCATTTCAAGGTCCTGGAGTGGCCTAGCCAGTCTCCAGATCTCAACCCCATAGAAAACCTTTGGAGGGAGTTGAAAGTCCATGTTGCCCAGCGACAGCCCCAAAACATCACTGCTCTGGAGGAGATCTGCATGGAGGAATGGGCCAACATACCAGCAACAGTGTGTGCCAACCTTGTGAAGACTTACAGAAAATGTTTGACCTCTGTCATTGCCAACAAAGGATATATAACAAAGTATTGAGATGAACTTTTGATATTGACCAAATACTTATTTTCCAACATAATTTGCAAATAAATTCTTTCCAAATCAGACAATGTGATTGTCTGGATTTGTTTTCTCATTTTGTTTCTCATAGTTGAGCTCTACCTATGATGTCAATTACAGGCCTCTCTCATCTTTTTAAGTGGGAGAACTTGCACAATTGGTGGCTGACTAAATACTTTTTTGCCCCATTGTACCAGTGATGGCGAACCTTTTAGAGACCGAGTGCCCAAACTGCAACCCAAAATCCACTTATTTATCGCAAAGTACCAACACGGCAATTTAACTTGAATAATGAGGTTTTACTACCTAAAATAATGATGAGCGAGGCAGAATTCAGCTAATCGTTCTGAGAAAAATGTGATAAATGCATTTTTATCCCCCTTCATTTTTTTCTCCTTTTGAAATATTACGTATAGCAACAATAAAATAGAAAAACTTTTCTAATATCATTTCTTTCCCTCCCCCTCTCTCTTTCCCTCCCCCCTTTCCCCCCTCTGTTTCTCTTCCCTCTCTTTCTCTCCTCCTCTTTCCCTCCCTCCCTCCCTGTCTCTTTTCCCCCTCTCTTTGTATTTCTCTCTCCTTTCACTCCCTCTCTGTTTCCCTCCCCCTCTTTTCCCCATTTCTCTCTTTCTCTCTTTCTCTTTCCCTCCCTCCTTTCCCCTTCTCTTTGTCTTTCTCTCTCCTTTTCCCTCCCCTCTTTCCCTCCTCCTCCCTTTCCCTCCCTCCCTCCCTCCCTCCCTGTCTCTTTCCCCATCTCTTTGTCTTTCTCTCTCCTCTTTCCCTCCCCTTCTCATTTTCTCTCTTTCTCTCCATCTCTGACTCTTTCCCTGTCTCTTTCTCTCTCATCTATCTCATCTATCTCATCTATCTCATCTATCTCATCTATCTCATCTATCTATCTATCTATCTATCTATCTATCTATCTATCTATCTATCCATCCATCCATCCATCCATCCATCCATCCATCCATCCATCCTCTCCTGCCCAGTTTCACGTGTTGTGTGAATCTAACCACTTAGGCTGTGGAGGGGGAGTGGAGGCTGACAGGCAAAGCCAAGCGTTAGAGATCCACGCAAAATAAGGAAACTCAAACCTGGATACTGTCAGGGAGACATCCCCACTTCCCTCTCCCACTCTCCCCACGTGATGGGGGTCTGGGCAGCCTGAGCACAGCTCCCTCCTCGGAGGTGACCAGCAAGCAAACAAATATGGCGCTCCAGGTGGGAAGTGGCAGCACGGAGCTCCACCTCTGGCTGGTGAGAGTGGAGCAGGCAAGGCATGCACCTTCCCTGCTGCTGCCATGGTGCTGGCACCAGCCAGGAGGGATGCGTGAGCCGAACGTTTGGAGCCATGCTTGGCAGAGTTTGCAAGCGGGCTCGGCGGGGTTTAGCGGGGAGGGAGACCCCCGACCTGTTTGGTTCGCTTCAGCGTGAGGTGGGAATGCAGAAGGCAGAGGAAATCCATGCCTCTTGGCGTTCAGCTCTCAAAGACTCCTTTGGGGGGACTGGGAGGGCAAGGGGCGGGACCAGTCAGTGGTGGGTTAGGATTAGGGAGGGAGCCGTACCGGAGGGACGAAAGAACCTGCGGCTTGCCGACACCCACCCTAGGGCTGGGGCGATGGCACGCATGCCCGCAGAGAGGCTCTGCATGCCACCTCTGGCACATGTCCCATAGGTTCATCACCAGGGCTATATACTATACTATATAGCAATAGCACTTAGACTTATATACCGCTTCATAGTGCTTTACAGCCCTCTCTAAGTGGTTTACAGAGTCAGCCTCTTGCCCCCAACAATCTGGGTCCTCATTTTACCCACCTCAGGCTGAGTCAAGCTTGAGCCTGGTGAGATTCGATCTGCCAAACTGCTGGCAGCCAGTGATCAACAGAAGTAGCCTGCAGTACTGCACTCTAACCACTGCGCCACCACGGCTCTTTTTAGAGTATACTCTATATCCGTGATGGCGAACCTATGGCACGCGTGCCACAGGTGGCACTGAGAGCCATATCTGTGGGCACGCAAGCGTTGCCCTAGCTCAGTTCCAGCACGCACGCATGTGCCAGCCAGCTGATTTTCAGGCCTTCCGGGCCCACCGGAAGTTGGGAAACTGGTCATTTCCGCCGGCCTCCAAAGGGCCTCCGGCGAGTGGGGAAGCCCGTTTTCGCCCTCCCCAGGCTCCAAGAAAGCCTCTTGAATTATGGGTGTGGGCACACGTGTGCGCGACCCCTCCACACTCCCTCTGCTTTTGGCACGTGACGGCAAAAAGGTTGGCCATCACTTCTCTATATACTCTATTTAAAGTAAGTAACAGTGCATAAAACTGATTTTATAAATGCACACAAGGTTTACTTAACAACACGAGGCCATGCTATTTATAAAATATAAAATGTATTATACTTTTTAAAAATTATACTAATAATAATTCCAAAGCAGAAGCCAGTGATGGATTTCCTTATGGGAAAAGCCTGATTTATGCATACTGTTGTCACAAGAACCTTTCTGTGCCAGGAGCTTCCTGTGGGTAGGAAACATCAAGCAACAAAATGAACTCATCCAGTCTTCTCTTATATTCGATTCTCCCCAAATATTACGTGTCCCAGGATGATGTTGCTGGATCCAATTGGAGTTGGTCAACAGGGCCATAGATTTAGTTTTCTAAACTTTGGGACTCGTGCTGGAGCCCATCTTCAGGAACTTCTGTATGTGTGCACACATAGAGACGTGAGGATGGGCTCCAGTATGAATCTGAAAGCCCAGAAGACCAGGGGTCTCCAACCTTGGCAACTTTAAGACTTGTGGACTTCAACTCCCAGAATTCCTTAGCCAGCAAAGCAAACCTGACTGAGGAATTCTGGGAGTTGAAGTCCACAAGTCTTAAAGTTGCCAAGGTTGGAGACCCCT